AAATAAAAAAAAAATTAAAAAATTAAACTTTGAATAAATGATGATAACACTTGTGGAATACAATAAATAGGTACAATATAAGCCGAATATTATATTACAGTATATACCCTACAGTATATGGATTTAAGTACCCTAGACCATTGTTTCCCAAACACTGGGTAACGACCCTCAGATGGGTCGCAAGAGATTTTTTTGGGTCGTCTACCATCATGTTTCCCAGGAGTTTACGAATAATATCTATTGACTTGCGTTGCGAAGATTTGTGACTTTTAAAATGTGTCCCCAGAAAAAAGTTTGGGAAACACTGCCCTAGACCACATTTGCCTAGGTAGTTGGGGCAACACGATGCAAGCGATTAGTGGTCTTGCCTTACAGCTAGAAGGTCACTAGTTTGTCACTCATTTTGGTTCAGGGCCCATGTACAGCCTTGAGTAGATCAAGTGGGTGGGACCAGTACAGTCATAACATAATTACCTATAAATAACATTAAGTCCATTTTTTTTTTCTTTTGTTTTCACGCAAATAAGTACAAGTTTATAAGAAAATCTTCATTTTCAATGAAATATAATTTGACAAAACATCACCAACATGGAGTGTTTGTGCATTTTTTTTCACTTGTAAAATTCATCAAGCATGCCAGATTGAACCACCCAGCGGGCCGGTCTTGACCCGCGGGCCGTATGTTTGACACCCCTGCTCTAAATGGGCCGTAGGTATGAGTGAGCATATGAGTGGTTGTTGGTTTTTGTGTGGCCCTTTGATAGAATCACAAACTAACCAAGAGGTAATGTATTTTTGACTGTGTATTTTTATTACAAACTCACTTCCTGTGTCTTAACTAATATCTTTAGATTGATACACACTCTCTAGAAATTCAATGCTTTTTGCAATTGCTGTGAGATGGGAGGGTCAAACTTTTTGACTTGTGGACCATAATTGTCCTAAGATTTGACAGGGGGGCCGGGTCAGGAGCAGATAGATGGAGCGTTTGTGTGAACTAAAATAAATGACATGTAAAAGTTGTGCATAAAGGCTAAAATGCTAAAATCATGTTCTACGCCATCTATTGGGGAAACATAGGTATTGCAGGGTATGATAAAATAAAAAAAATTATATAATTTGGAAAAGTTTGCCGGGCCGGATTAAAAAACTGAACGGGTCGCCTCCGGCCCTCGAGCCTTAGTTTGCCCATGCCTGCACCAGCCCCCTCCCCCTCAAACCACTTGTTTAACAGTCAAAGTGTCAATGAAAAGCCTTGCCATTTAAACCGGTGATGTTCCCTAATTAAGTCATCAACATCGTACTAATTAAACTGTGTTTAAAAACCACGTTTTTCAAAATATAAGAAGAAAGTTTCCCCAGACTAATTTCAGACATCAAAGTGTTCCTCCCCTAATAGAATGTAGGTCATATTTCCACAGTGGAGTAGAACGCGTGTGCCTGTCTCTTTGATTTGTAATCAAGCAGAGCCCCATTAACAAGCATGTTTGTCTCTGTACCAGCGAACATGTCTATCCTGTGTCACTTCAAACAGTAGCGCTTAAGATAGTTTAATAGAACATTTGCTTTGACAATCTCACAAAACAAAACAGAGGCGAGACCTTTGTTCAGATGAATCCTTTTTAGTTTCTAAAATGGATTGTTGTGTTTAGCAGGTTCAACCTACAGATGTAAGATGTGATCAAAAGACTATAGTAACATTGGTAAATCATATGAAGAAATATGGCTAAAAAAAGAGTCAGATTTAGAACATATTTTGAAGCATTTAGACCAAGCATGGGTAAACTAAGGCCTGGGGGCCGGATGCGGCTCGTTCAGCTTTTAATCTGGCCCGCCAAACTTTTCCAAGTTCCCTGCAATACCCACGTTTTCCCAATAGATGGCGTAGAAAATGATGAAAGCATTTTTACATTTTAGCCTTTACGCATGACTTTTACATGTCATTTATCTTCAGACGTTCACACAAACGCTTCAACTATCTGCTCCTGACCCGGTCCCCCTGTTCAATTTTAGGACAATTGTCCTAGTCAAAAATCAACTATCTGCTCCTGACCCGGTCCCCGTGTTCAATTTTAGGACAGTTGTCCTAGTCAAAAGGTTTGCCCCATGCCTGATTTAGACCAATGCTGATGAGGGTTAGCGAAGAGCTGATGCAAGAATGAAATGGATTCATGTAATTTGCAGATTCTTAGTCTGATTCCTTCTTGATTTGTTTTTCTTTTTTAATCAAACCACTTTCAGAAACTGTTCATCAGACATGTCGCGCCACCTACTGCATACTACTTAACTACTTTATAATAAGAACGAGTCAGCACAGCCAGAGAAATCCTTATACTCCATTTCAGATATTTTCCATCCTTCATCTTAATTAAATCTATCTCAAACGAGAGGAAAAATGCACATACATTTAAATAAAGAGCAGATTCTGTTTACTTTCTGTTTGGCCAAAACAAGGAAAATTGGGTCGAAGGCCTTTTACCCAAGGACGGTGCAACCTCGAAATACCAGCATAATCCGTTCCAGGACCGAACTCGTAACTTGAGGTGCTCGTATTTCGAATCATTTCCCATAAGAAATAACATGCTTTCTTTCTTTATTTCCATGGTCATCTTGCGGGTCTTCTTCTCACTTTCATCCTTACCACTCACTTTTTTAGGACATAATGCACAAAATATAGATCAAATCACGTAGATAACGCAAACACAATACGACTTGCGGGAGATGCGTACGGAAGTTGACAAACACGTGAAGTGAATGAGTGAGGCGACGTGGGCTGCTCCAAGTGCTCGGCCACCTAGCATCGGCGTCTGTATCTTAAATATTTACTCGTATCTCGAAGCAAAAAATGACTTGCTCGTATCTCGAAATACTCGTATGTCGAGACGCTCGCATCTCGAGGTTCCACTGAAAGATAAGCTCTGTCTCCTTGTGTCTAAGCATCTTCAACCTTACCTGAGCTAGACCTTCTTTCTTTTACCTCTCATCGCTTTGAATGATTTAGGGCAAGTGTTCAAATATGCTGTGTTAACTAAGATCACATCTTCACCTTTCCACCCGCCTCGGTCCTTTTCCTGATCCCCAATACAACCGGATCGTCTTAAATGGTCCTATATTCTACACTTTTCCTTTCTCTGCTTGCATTTAATTCCTGTCTGATTTAACTCCCATATATTCATAATATTTTCACGATGTGTTTTTGACTCAGTGCTATGCTTCTCTTCGGGCTAAAAATACTAAATATACAGAAGCAGAGCCAGCATGAGGCCTGGTACTGACACACGGTAGCTCCAAGTGGATTCTATGACTCTCCTTGGCTCCCGATGGCGATGACACCTCGCCTCTCATCTCTCTATTTTGTACTTTCTCTCACTCTCACTCTCTCTCTCTGTCTCTCTCTCTCTCTCTGGTGGTAGTTTTCTTATATGGAAAAAGTTTGCTTAAAAGACAAAAATGACAACTTAGCGAGTATCAAGCGTCGTGAAATAAGCACGTTGCGTCGAGTCTCTGCCAAGGACGAGTGTTCGGTTGTGTAGACTTTGGGGTGTTTTTGTGTGTTTTATGTGTGGGCAAGTTAGCCAAGCTGTGTAAGAAGATGAGGTTGAGCTCTGTCCTCCTGTGTGTCCTCCTGCTGTGGGTGAAGGAGTCCCGAGGAGACACACCTGCAAACTGTACCTATGAGGAGCTACTGGGAACATGGGTCTTCCAGGTGTCCAAAGGTGGACACGACAAGACGATTAACTGTTCAGCTGAAGGTAGGTATTGTCCTCTGTTCTTTAGAGTCGGCATAACACTCTAAAAAAGTTATGCAAGTAACACGCAGAAAGATTTAGCACAAATCTTCACTCTTGGTAGTCGTAGTCATGAAAGGCCTCAATATTTACACCTTTCATTTTTAACAAGTACATTACAAGCGTAAAATAAGAATCAAACTCTTTCTAGAACCCAAACGAATGAAATGGATAACTGTAAAAGTCCGTGTTTTCTGAAATATCAACCTCTGAGGTTTAGCCTATATAGTATTTTTTTTTATTTTTCCATATTTGTCAAAGATTATTATTTAAATTACAATGTAACTATTTTTTTTTTTTTTCATTTTGCCTCCGCAGCAACAGGTGAAACCACAGTGACCGTAACCTTGGAGAAACTGTCTGTAGCCACGGATGAACTGGGAAACACAGGCTTCTTCACCATCATCTACAACCAGGGATTTGAAGTCGTCATCAACGGCTACAAGTGGTTTGCTTTCTTTAAGGTAAGAGGACAACAGACACAGAAGATAACACTGAACTATAACAGGAAGTCATTCCAGTACACGTTTAAACACTGCTAACTCACTTCCTCTCTATCACATGACTGTGACCAAAGTCAAAAATCATAACCAGTCTGTTTGTCTCCACATATTTTTATCTCTGGTTATTTTCACTTCCTCTTTTGCTAAACTGGAATTCAACTGAAATACAACTTCAAAGTTATTGAATTATATATTAAATAGAATATTTTCATTCAATGTGGTTTCTGTTATTTATTCTTTTTAATCATTCTTTTGTAATCAAACACACATTTGCAACCAAACTCTGTCTCTATTACTTTCAAGTACACTGAAGATCACCAGAAGGTAACCAGTTACTGTGACCAGACCCTACCAGGATGGGTTCACGATGTCCTGGGCAACAACTGGGCTTGTTTTGTGGGCAAGAAAATTAAAGCTGTGCCACTTCGTACAAACGACAAACCATTTTACAGCAGCGGGTATGAAAACTTATGTTGTGACTGTAAATGGGTCAAACACACTCATAATGCAATATAACAACACCTGTAATTCCGTAGAAAATTAGTTTGTGTCTGCTGCGGAAATTACTTCTTGTTTACCCTGGAGCTTTATTTAGCATTTTGGTTTTTCTTTTTACGTTGCTGGCAGCTAGTTTATTTTATTTGGCTTGAGGGAAAAAAATAAATACAAAGATTTGCTTATCTGGCAAAGCTGAATATGTATATATATATATGTATCTATGTATATATATGTATCTATGTATATATGTGTATATATGTGTATATATATGTGTGTGTATATATATGTGTGTGTGTATATATATATATAATGTTTTCTCAATTATTATTATTGTATATTATCAATATATTTGTTTATATTTATGTTTTTGATGTTTAAATAGTATATTTCTGGGGGACTGGGACTAATTAATTGTTTTTAAATTATTTTTAATGGGGAAAATGCAATTGAGATACGAGTGCTGTTGTGGAACGGATTAACTCGTATCTTGATACGAGTGCTGTTGTGGAATGGATTAACTCGTATCTTGGGGGGTCCACTGTATTCTCATAAAGTACAGTCGCTATACTTTTTCACTACTGCACAGGTGTATGCTGTCGAGATGAGGTCCTCGGACCATGTGTTCAACATAGTCAGTACCTTAGTCCTCCTGCTGTTCAGAATCCGTATTTTGGTTTTGTTGGAGGTTTGGGATGTTTAAAGATAAGTTGAGGCTGGAGGCTGGCACGTAGCAGATGGTTGTAAAGTCAGAGGCAGACGTCTGATGGCTGAAGCTGCATGGAGCGTGCACAAAGACTAATTAATAGCCTATTAAAATATATAGAACCACTGGGAAATAATACCATACCATATAATAATAAATACCAATTCCAAATAGCAATACCATAGACTTTTTTTAACTCATGGTAAATGAAAACGATCTGATCTGAAGGGTCGGATTAATGATTTTACCAATGACATGGGGAGCAATATAGCCTGGTGCCAATTTACGGGATTCCGCTTGGAAGGGTATGTCCAGGTTGTTATGAGGGAACAGGTGATAGACGGCAGTCAGCAGAGTCCGGGCAGCAGAACAGGAGAGAGTTGCACGAGCTGCCTTTTGCACTTGCCAACAACAGCGGGAGTTGGCTTAGACAATCCCAGAGCAACCACAAAAGGGGACATACCTGTGGTGGAGCCGATGAGGGAGTTGCAGGCATATTCTACCGAGGGTAGTAGAGAGCTCCATGTCGATGGGTTGTGAGCAGGTAACACATTGGAGGGCAGATTTCAAGTCTTGATTAGACCTTTGTGTCTTGGGTATAATCCTTAAGGGTATCCAGCGGAAAGGCTAACAGTAGTCCCTAACACCTGGCAGAATGCGTTCCATACTTGAGAAATTTTGAGTCTGATCAAAAACAATGTCTTGGGGGATGCCATGATGTGGGAAAAGGTGTGGTATCAGCAGGTCCAGAGTCTTAAAGGGCGAAAGAAGTATGGAGGAAGGAGATTTTGAAAAGTGATCAACAGTAGTGAGGATTTTGTCGTTACCTACAAACAAAAGAAGATCAGTGAGGAAATCCTGACACCTGGAGGGCAACCAGAAAAGATCAACTAACCCTGACTGAGTCTGGCATGAATAAACACGTAGGCCTGGGGCCTGACTAAGAGAGTTTTGCTCAGAGATATCCCAAACTCTCTGGACACAAGACTGATAGAGGGTCAATGGTTTTACACTAGTTTTCTAGGGGTATCCATTTGGTATTGCGAGCCTGGGCGGTAGCAAAGTTGGAAGCAGTTGGATGCAGAGGAGTGATGGTAGGGGACAAGCTGAGGGTGAAGGTTGGAGTGGAGGCCTGGAGGCAAGCAGTAGCAGAGGATTGCGGAGGCAACACAAGATCTACTTAACCGCACAGGTGCCAAGTTTGGCTCAGTGTTCCACGCTTTGGCTCACAACCTCCGACCATGCCTAAGCAGGCCACCGATTTACTTCTGAGCACCTTTGCACTTTTACTAGCCTTAGAATCTGCGCTTTAGGGGGCAATCACGCTTGGGCACAGTACAACGGCTCTAGTGTGAGTCCAGTTGCCCTTGATGTAACTGCTTTGGATTCCACTGAACCAGGTTTGTTAGGGATCGGATTGATTGTTGCTGACTTGAGACATAAAGGATTTAAGTGTGAAAAAGATTCCAATGAGAACTCCCTCAGAGCTGGTCATCAGAAGTAAAAACATAGGAAGGGTAAAAAAAAAAATAGTTGCCTTTGATGTAACTACTTTGGATTCCACTGAACCAGGTTTGTTAGGGATCGGATTGATTGTCGCTGACTTTAGACATAAAGGTAAGGTAAAGATTCCAATGAGAACTCTCTCAGAGCTGGTCATCAAAAGGAAAAGATAGGAAGGGTAAAAAAAAAATTGAATTGCAATTGCAGTAAAACAGAACACTGAGAAGAAAAAAAGGAGAAGGTTAGTAAGGTGCCATCTCCTGCTGTAGTCTAAGTTACTGAGAGGATGATTATGTCTGGTAATCACAGTGTCTCTTTGTCCTTGAGCTCCTCGATTGCTTGATTTCTGATGTCCAACTGGGTGACATAATGAATTCTCCCGTATGTAAAAAAAAAAAAAAGATTTACACATTTAAATGTAGAAATATTGATGCAACACCAGCTTGCTCCCTTCAAGTTAACATCTCATTGGTGCATACTCTAAACAGATTTTTTTTGTGCATTATTTTTCAATTATTTGATGTATTTATAGGGACTCGGAGCATTCGATGTGAGCTCAGACTAGCCTGGTGATCTGGAATCGTCCTGTGTTGGTGTGATGATGATAGTTTAGAATTAAAGCTGAAAGCTCTTTGCATCTACAACTACTGTGCCACGGTAACAACTGCTCTCCTCCTCCAGGATCAATATCCTCTTACCTTGGAGGACGGATCAGCCTCTCTCATTATTGGGACAAGCTCTAGATGTTCAAATTGCTTAAATAAGAGCAGGTTAACAAAAGTTGCCTCAATAAAATAGCCATTCATCTGACCCATTAACTTAAATGATCGGCTCACACAGAAGCTGATCGCGGCATCCCGCGGGATTCAAGACCTTCATGGGCAGAATAGCCTTTGGAATGATTTTCAGCAGAAACTCATAGCGGGAGATAATGGCCACGGATAAGTGGTTTGAATTGTAAAAAATTATCCTGTGTAGTTTACTGTTCAGCATTGTGTATGTGGAAAAGTACGGTAAACGTGAGCGCTCCCTTTTCTAATTCAATTTTTGTGACATATTTACAGCTAAAGACAAAATGATTAGCCTACTGTATCCCCAGTACAGATTAAGGTAGTTGGTTCAATAGTGTAGAAGGTAGAACTCGTGTAGCGCAAGAGGAGAGTCCTGGGTTCAATTCCCAGAGGAACCACATCTCCCCCATGGCGCCTCCTGTGGTAGCTCATGTTTCAGTTGCAATGAATCGCACTCCTGTATTCCCTATTGCGGAATGAATATGAGACTGAATTATTTGAGTCACATATTCTATATTAAAAAGTAGAAAAGGAAAAAGTGAAATTAAGTGACGGGTAAAAGAATCTGGTGCGGAACAATGAGTGCGGCAGCGCGACAGTGTCAAATGTAAAAATGAAGCACAGTTGAGCACTCGTAACTTGATGTTTCATCGCACCACTAGGAAAACCTTAAGCAAAAGTTACTTATTCGTGAAACTCCCAAGATAATTCGACATTATTAGCGTAATGATGGAATATCGGTAAGAATCTTTATCGGTTTTTCCTCCGATAATGAAAACGCGATAACGCAATGCCTGGATTTTGCCAGATTTTGCCAAATGTGCTGCTAATTTGTGGAATGCGTCTAGTGGGGCAACTCAGTTAAAGTAGGTAACGTGTTAATTCCACGACAACAGATATGTGATGTGTCCTACAAAATAGTTTCGGGTGATAACTGAATGTATCGGTATTAATTGATCGTAATTGGAAATTAAGTGTTTTGACAATATCGGCATATAGGATATCGGCAAAAAGTTGATATCGGACATTCCTATTTATTGGGTTTCAGTTAAAGGCATTAGTTGATAGGGTAGCTACTAGCCATTTGTTAGTATTTCGCAAAATATAAACATCAACTTCAACAATCCTTTGCTGTTCCTGTTCACTACTTACAGTATAAACAGTTTTAAAAGACCTACATTTTAAAGAGGTTTGCTCTGTTGTTTATTTTTTGTGCTTGCTGGTCTCTACACTGTCTTGTCCTTATTTTCGAATTCATAGCTGATCATTAACATTTCTGCTTATCCGGCTAACACATTTAAAATGTCCGTTAAGCAAATCAAGCTACTTAGACTACGGCAGCTCACAGAAAAGGTTATTAAAAGCAAGGCATGGAAAAGATGTTATAAAAACTAGGGAGACTATTACAAAAATGATGAAATTACCTCTCAGCAGAGCTTTTACTTGGGATGTTAATATAAAAGGAGGAGGTAAAAAGGAAGTACGCCACAGTTTAATCTGATTTAAAGAGGCGATAACACCGTTAACTTTTACAAAAACTCTTCATGAAAAAATAGGATATACATACAGATTTGTTTTACGTCCATTAATTTCTCGGCAATTTTTTTAAAACGCTGCTTTCTTCAGGAGTCATCCCAGCAAATAATTTGCCTCAATCCATCCTTCGGTGACAGTTCCACCAACCAACTGCGTGTCCTCTCTCCATTAATCTTCTCAGGCGTTTTCCTCTTACTCCTGCCTTAGCAGCTCCATCTCCAACATCCTTTGTCCAATATTTTGATTATCTCTCCTCAGCACATGTCCAAACTATCGCCACACTGACTGACTCTGTAGCATTATCTCCAAACTGATCAACCTGAGCTGTTCCTCTGATCCTCTCTTTTTTTTTTGTTTTGTCCAGGTTATCCTGGTTATCCATATAAAAATCTCAACACCCTCTTTGTACAGTAACCTCCAGCTCTGTCATCAAATCGTACGACACAGCAGGCCTCTTCTTTGTCTTATGAACATTTTCTTTCAATTTTACTGATATTCTTCTGTCCGCAACCTCATCCTCTTTCCATTACATAGCTAGATAGATAGATAGCTAGATAGAT